CAATTCCTGTGTTAAAATCGAAGGCAGAGATCGAAACATTGATGATTGATATTTGGGGTTCAACCTCCCAAACGATGATGATTTGTGGGGTTTAACGTCAAAAAACCACCATATGATTATGAGAGACGCCGTAGTGGAGGGCTCCGGAAATTTCGACCACCTGGGGTTCTTTAACGTGCACCCAAATCTGAACACACGGGCCTACAACATTTTCGCCTCCATCGGAAATGCAGCCGCCGCAGCCGGGATTCGAGCCTTCCCAAAACCACCGAATGATTATTTTAACGTGCACCTAAATCTGAGCACACGAGCCTACAGCACTATTAGCCTCCATCGGAAATGCAGCCGCCGCAGCCGGGATTGGATCCCGTGACCTGCGGGTCAGCAGCCGAGTACCTTAGCCACTAGACCACCACGGCGGGGCGTACGAACGAAACATGATGATGAAGTAAAAGCCTCACTTGTACTGGATCTTTCGTTTTTCAAACTCCTCCATTTTAGGGCCAGCTAATTAATATGAGCCCCGTGAAATAATAATACAGCGTAAGCGGCTTATGCGAAGGCGAAATCCTCATAATCTTATATGCCCGTAAACAAACTCCTTGCGTGCATGTGCCACAAGCTTTGAGCAAGCCCCACTACTAACCACTCGTCAACTGAAAATGAAGAAATGAACACTTTTGCGGCAAACAACAGTTAGAATCTTCGGACAGACCAAACCCGTTATGGAGAAAGGCTTTATTGAACAATCGGGATTAATCCAGTGATAAACACTGGGAGCACACGTTTGAATATCTCTGGCCAGCCGCGTGCATGGACTACTTGGGCGGCGATTCTTTTACGTGTGCTTTAAGAATGCCACAAGATCTTGAGTGGAATCGCCACGAACATGTATGGGTAACTCTGTGTCAGGATTGACGAGCTCCAGCAAAGTAAGCAGTGCAAATTAAACAGTCGTCTCGTGCCCCTTGCGGTACAGGGACATTTAGCGCAGCTGAAACAAGACCATTAATTGGAAAGCGGAGACTTCAAGTGATCGATTGTACACATACGTCACAGCAGGCTAATAAGGGGGTGCGGAAAAATAGACAAATTACGAATGTATATATCTTTATTTTGGAAAATCTAAATATTTCCCCAGACCAATCAATAATTCCCTAGCCTAGCTTCTCCTCGCCCCTTTTCACCACCCGCTACAAAAACTTTCGTTAAAGGAAGCACAGCTTCGTTTCTCTGCTTCAAGATGTTCTTTCAGATTCCCATCATCAATATTGCCTTTCTTCGTGCCCAAGGTTTAACGTAACGTATAGGCATCAATTTAACGAGTATTGAGCACCGTGCAGAAAAGTCTACGGGTTATGCTTTTAAAGGAATGTTAACTATTGCGAAATACGGAAATTCCGTTTGTCACTAGAATTGAAATCAGAAGCTCTTTTGCAGCTCTAACGATGGGCCGCGCCAATGAAGGTCCCTACGTTAAGGTAATGCGTTTTGACCAGAGTGCACACTCACTTTCAAAGTACAAAGAAAACAAGTGTTCGTTCTATTATGCATTTTTACTAAGGCAGAGCTTCCATGCAAGGCCGAAAAGAACGAAGCGCTAGGCCAGCTGTTCTCCTTCATTCTTCCTTTATTGTGTATGTTGTCGACTAAGTAATCTCAGAGTGGGCTGGGCTCTCTTTTTCTCTACTTTTCTTTTGTAACGACGTTTATTCTCCAAAAGAAATGCCAGATTCTTTTTTTTTCAGCGTATAGATTTTCTTATTGCTTTCTTTCTACACATAATTGTACATATACTTTCATTTTTATCATGAAAGAGTGCCTGAGTACGAAATCATAAAGATTGACATTAGTAAGTGCTACTGTACCAATGATCTGGTATACTTTCTCTAGTGGCATACCATTAAAAATATTTTCTGACGTCATCTCGTACGAACAATGCTTTAAGGTAACTGAATTGTTTTCGACGAATATCGGCACTGACTCGCAGGTCGTGGGATTGAATCCCGTCGGCGGCGGTGGCATTTTCGATGGAGGCGAAAATGCTGTAGGCCCGCGTGCTCAGATTGGTGTGCACGTTAAAAAACCCCAGGTGGTCGAAATTTCCAGAGCCTTCCACTACAGCGTCCCTCATAATCACATGGTGGTTTTGAAACGTTAAAGCCCACATATCAATCATATCATTTAATGCTTTACATGAAAACACACCGGCCATAGCCATATATGCAGGTTATACATATCTTTTGTAACCTTGTTCTACTTTTTTAGCATGAGCTAGACAAGCTGTGATGTGATGACACGGCGCTGCAAAGCACGAGAGCAAGTTTTTCATTCCATGTCATGGCTGTGGCTCGTCAAGCGCTTTGATAAGGTCGAGAAGTAAAAACGGCCCTGCAGTGAGGTTTTGATGAAGGTATGGCTAACATTTTTCAAAACCATAGCTGCGAAAGGCTTCCCATTGTTTGTCCAGGCTCCACATAATATGTGAACCTACTGTCATTGCACTGCACGCATTAGAGAACTTGAAACTCATAGTTGAGGAAAGCCAAAACTTGCTCGCCTTCCCCACGACAAACTATGCTGTAGACGGGACAAACGCAGCTATTGAACGATGTTATGTTTGCACATACAATTTAATTCTTCTATTATCAGTGTGAAATTATTTACATAAACGAACTTATGTATCTCTGTTTCCAAACCCTTCAGAAAAGTATCAAATATTTGCGCTTTTGCTCTCAGTCTATGATTCAATGTTTAGTGTTTTGTTCTCCCCTACGGTCATGTGAGGCTCCACGGGCCTGCACTGCCGTGTCGCTTCAAACACTCCACGGACCTCACTCAGTGAGCTGTCTCGTACTGAGCCCACTACGGCACTTCTTGCTGATCCGTGTTATTGTCTCCAGAACCACCGGTACGCTCTCCTGTGCACTGTAACTCTTCTGCACGCTGCTCGCGAGCCAGACCCCTTGGCAGACATTCTTTGGTGATGTTTAAGGGAAAGTGCTACAAAATTACGCTTGCACACGTTGCATAAAATGAACGAGGAATTGCAGCCATATTTACTTCATTAAAATATACCTTTTTAGTGAGACACACTATTGAATTGCACCCGAGTGAAGTAACTGCGGCAGTTGCAGAAATGTAATCGATTTCTTAAAATCAAGCCTTCGACAGATGCCCATCTGGTCGAGAAGAATCGTCACATAAAAAATACAAAGGCACCGACCACATCAAAATAAAAATGTAACGACGTTTTGGCACCCAGAATAGAAGCCTTCTTCACAATCACAACATAATGTTGTGAAAAGGCTCTCGTTCTGGGTGCCGAAACAGCAATAACTTTTTCTTTTGTAGCGGTTAGTGCTTTTGCGTTTTTATTTAATAAATCACTTTTGCGTTACTTTTCTTTAAAATTTCTTTGTCAAACACTAGTTTTCTGAAATCTACAACGATAACTTCTGTAAAGGCTTGGAGGTTTAGTGTGGCTTCTGTGATACAAGGCTAACAGCTTGTTGCCTGATATCAGGAGCACTTTAAAGGGCGAAGCTCCTTACGCCGTGGCTTGTACGTCCCGTGTTATCGTAGTCGTCATAGTAACCAGTTCCATTGCGCCGTAGTAACCAGTTCCATGTCAATAAAAACGGTGTAACAGCGTATCTACGGAGTGAATGATGATGAGGGGGAGGGGAGGCATCAGTCAGCCCATCCCTGCATCGATGCGTCCATGCGTCCGCCCTTGCGTCCATTTCGGGTGGTCTGGCCTCGTACTTTTGAACGATGTTGAGCTTCCAAATGTCGGTGAACGAGGCACTTACGTTTGCCAATTTCTTGTTGGACTTACGCACGTGCACTTGTTTTATCACAACGACGGGCTGCGGACAGCTTCGCCCCACGTTCATCATTCACCTCTTGGATGTGCTGTGATTTTTTTAAAGTTGTCGTCACTGACTCTTCCTCGTTCTTTTGTTATGAGGTAACCTGCCATACTACACACTCTCCCGATGCATGGGCTGGAAAGAAGGGCGGTGTCTTGGGTTTTACGTTTCAACGCCATCACATGATTAACAGAGACGCCTTCGTGAAAGTCACCGGAAACTTTCGGCATCATGTGCTCGTTAACGATCACATACATCGTACAGTACACGGGCCTATACGATTTCACTTCCATGCAAATGTGACCACCACGATCTGGATCAAATCCACGACATTCGGGTCAGATGCCGAGTACCGTAGACACTGTTCCACCGAGGTGGACAGAATGGCGGCTTCAAAACGTAAGAACACCTTGCACACAGACTTGTAGTTTCACAATGCTTCGGTGCTATTGTGCATGTCATCTAAGAAGTGCGGCAATTCCCTGCTGCAGATACTCAGGTAAGGCGTTGCTGGTAAGGTTACGGGAAAGGAAAAATTCAATGCCGTAGAAGCTTGCAATTGTGCCGCTTTAGGACACTGAAGTGGCAGGCACTGGAGTGTTTATCGTTGCATTGTTTTGGCCGCAGCAACTTGCATTCCGGAAGGTGTTTCTCGCAACAATGAGATTCATCATAGTTATCGCCTGAGAGTCACCATAATCGCCAATTACTTCGCGATCTACTTCTAGCACGTAGTCATGCAAATAAAAAGCACAGTGTAGCTTCATGCGTGCAGTGTACATTTATTCGTCATTTATTTGTGGGGTTTAACGTCCCAAAACCATGACATGATTATGAGAGACGCCGTAGTGGAGGGCTCTGGAAATTTTGACCACCTCGGGTTCTTTAACGTGCACCCAGATCTGTTCACACGGTACACTTATTCTTATGTTGTGACCAAGGCATCATACCGGGTACGATAAAAAAACTGGTTGCCCCCTTGCGTCTCAATGAAATGTACAACCGTGAGCAGAGCTTCCAGCTTGTTCTGTTTGTAGCATGGAAAACGAAAGAATTCAGCGTATGCATCAAACCTTATTCATATTTATCTGTCGTAATAAATATGCATGTTGATGAGTCTTTTCCATGGTTTTCTTTTCAGGGTTGGTCGGCAGTGTTGGAAACGGCATAATCCTGGCTATGTACGCGTGTGTGTCCTCGGTGATGGACCCAACGAGCCTGCTCCTCATCAGCCTGGCGGCCTCTGACTTCGGCATACTCATTGGCTGCCCATTTTCGGCCTCGGCCAGCTTCTCTGGCAGGTAAGTGCACAGAGAATGCGTTATCACTAATGACATTTTCTCGTTTCAGGAAAGAAAACGCCCCATGTGCTATGCGGTGTAATTCGACCTCAGTTCAGCATTTCATGCGCGCAATAAAACTTATACCACTTCTCCCTAAGACATGCACAAAAGGCCCTGAGCTTGAGTGAATGAATAGAAGAAGCTGCCAGCGCATGTCTTGATACGGACACCATTCACACATGCAGACGCATTCACTTTGTGAAAACGCTGTCCTTGCGTATTTCTTCTAAACTATTGCTCAAACTGCTGAAAAATTGTGTAGAAGCTACCACCAATGGTAGACCATTCCGCGATTAGACGCAGCGTAACATCTTTGACACAATTCAAGCCACTTGATAATGGCAAATTTTAGCGAGGGTCCCGTGTCAGTGAGATGTAATACCACCGATAATTTGCATACATCTCTCTACCTTCAGTAATTTTGAAGGATGAATTTTCAGCTGTATTTTCATTCCGTTTCGTCTCATCGTAATCGATAATGACCATATTTGCATGTTTTTTTTTTAAATAATCAAAGTCTACTGCAGTTGTACACCAATATGAAATAAATGCCGTGCGCTTCAGGTACTTTTGCTACTCTAAACTACTAATTCCCGTTCTGGGACAGCAGCGCTTTCAGCCTGAATGATTTGCTTTATTAACGTGAATGTGTTTCATGCCGGGGTCCACCACGGCTCCATTGACGTACTTTCGTCATGCAAGTGACGTTGAATATTGTATACTATCAGATTACAAAAAAAAAATATGATAGAAAGTATTCGTCACGCGGAATCCAACCAGCAAATGCTAGATTCCGAGTGCGCGACGCAAATAACTACACCACGGTGCGTTCGTTGTCTGGAGCGCCAACGGCAAGTCATTTATATACACCATAACCAATTGGCAGCCCTTAGAGCTTCGAAACTTTAGTGGGTTTTTGTTACCAGTGGCGAGATGGCATGACGGGCTCGCGTTAGGCGTGTTCTAAAGGTCGTCGACTCTACGAGGCGGAGCGTGGTCTTTCCTGAGCGCGCGCTTATCGAACTCGTGTGATTCGGGAGAGAACGAACGTCACTTTGCACGCAGCCGCGTTTACGTAAAGAGCACGCTGCTGACACACGGATGCAGCAAGAATTGCGACAGTTGTTCGCTCTTGTCTTGCGTATACTTATGCGCTCGTTTTGTGTGTTTTTTTATTGCGATAGCAATTATAAGGACAATCTTGTCTGGTTTTTGCCGTCATGGCTCTCACTGCTGTCGTTCACGTATGTGCCTACAGTAAATGACGGGTTGATAAGAAATGCATACAAAGTACTTTGCTTACAAAAGACATCTCATATTAAAAACAAAAATTTCTGCCCAAATCATGCCTCTTATAAAAGGGCTTAACTGTGCACGTCTTTTTATTTGCCTTGCATGCTCTGAAACTTACTTCTCATTGGTGTCTTCCTGGTGCTTGCGGGCGATACTGGAGTGGCAGAGGTGACAGCTGGAGAGACAGACGTACTTGCAGACGTCCCTAAAACTTGTTTCGCAACACTCTGTAGGCTCTTGGTGTTTGGCACATCTAAGGAAAAAGAAAATAGTAGTCATTTGTAATTTGTTATGACAATGTTATTCAGAAGTGTCACTGTCCTATATTTTTTTCTGAACTGAATATTACTCAGCATTGTGAACCAGTGTACTGAGTGTTGGCTACACAAGCTCTATCCACAAGGATTACCTTCAAGTGATTGAAAAGATTCTCATTCGGATATGTGTATTTTCGTATGATTTCGCACGTGGGCCCGTGGAAGCTTTTTTTTGGTCAACATACATCTGAAGATCTCCTCCCTCTGTTTGCGGCACTCACAATCACATTCCTCGAGCTCACCAAAAGAACAAGGTGCGACTACCTTTACCATTAAAAGTTACCTTCCCTTGAAAGCACTTTCAAAAGTCACTTTTTTCTCGTGACGCAGCTATAGTGGTGTTTTACGCCACCTGACGAAGTTCACAAAACACAGCTACGTTATGAGCACAGCAGACAACAAAGAATCGTAAGTTTGCTACTTTGACACTCGACGAATACGCTGTATTTTCGCTTAGTAGGCGCGGGTGTTTTGTCGACCATGAAGAAGCTTGGGGACTTCACAAAAATGTGCTAAGCTCTGCTATTGGCACACTGCGTGAAGATTGCCTCTAAATGGCTTTGCATAGAGTGCAAGAGTGAATATCGAGTGCAACGATTTTGCACTCTAAATGACTAGGCAAGTTAAATGGGACATGCTTGTCCCGAAGAAGCAATCACTTTAACCCTGGAAACTTCTGTTCCTTTTTTTTTCTTGGGTGCCCTACCAGCTCAACAGCAGCACATCGCAACATGTGCTTCACAAAGGAACAAATGCAACACGCTCACTTTAGTCGTGCACTGAAGACGATGACACCGCCACACTCTTCTGGTGAGACACGACTTTTGAACTCAATTTATAGGTAAGAAGATGCTTGTAAGATTTGAATTCTTAAAATGTTAAAAATAAGGATTCAGTCGCACCTTCAGCTAAATATTAGCTGCCGTTTCCAATAGTAACCTACTCTCCTTTTTTTTTGAATATATAATGGTGCAAGCCGTATAACCAGGGTTCCTGTGTACCTTTTCAGTTTGGGGCTCACACACTTGACAAAGAGGTACTTAGCATTGATCACTTGGAATTAAAAAATCACGTCAAGTCAGCTTAAGTGAGTGCACTATTGATTCAAACTTATTGAAGCTCACGTAATGTGAGCTGCTCAGATCAAATCTCACCAAGTTCTGCTCCAGCAGGCTTAAGTTCCATTCAGCATCAGTTTACTTAGCTCGCCTCATTGCAATTCATATTTAGCAGAATTTTATCCATCGCCACTCTTGTCACAATTATTTTGTTTTTCTATGTTACAGCTGAGGCATTATTTCTTTATATATGCAACGTGAAGCCAGGCTTGTTTGCATAAACATAAAACTTTTTTTTAGTGGTGTCTGAAAGCCCCAGCCATGAACTTTCATATATATTGTTAGCTCACCTGCAAGTGGTGATCGAGCTGCTGGTGCCTATGTAGGCTCTTGTGCAGGCCTTCCCGGTGTGGCAGCTGTAAGCTGATGAACAATAACGTAAGCTGATGAACAATAACGTAAGGTGTGGCAGCTGTAATCTGATGAACAATAACGTAACAATAACGTATGAACAATAACCAATTGTCAAAGGTGGGCTCACCATGCCAGCAGCATGAAACAGGCACTTCATGCATGGCTGATCCCGTGCCGGTGAAATAATAAGACGATGTTGCAGAAGAAGTGACATTTGGGCAATTTGGAAGCTGTTAAGGAAGAATGTGGCAACGGCAAGTGTGAATTTGGTGAAATTGCATGGTAAATGTTTCAATTATATATTTTCTTGATATCCTGAGATCATGTTCATGTTTGACGCCATGGTAAAATATTAAGCAATATAAGTAGTTGAAGTTTAGGAAAACACAATTCACTAATGTGCTGTCTTCAAAAGGTATCACAAACTATGAGAAATGCATGCAGAAAACAGCTAAAAATTGTTGAAACAACAAAACTAGTTTTAATTGCCACATTCCCCCCCCCCCCCCCCGTAACGTGATGAGTGGATTCAGCGTGGTATGATGAAGTTAAGAGATAAAGAAGGGACACAGTGCTGGTGTCCCTCCTTTACCTCTGTCCTCTATTTAACTACGCTGAATTCACTCATCTTGAGACAGTGTTGATGTGGCAATGCAACACAGCTTGACTCTCTTGAGTATGCTTACATAAACTTTCTGCATAAACACATTTCACACAAGCCTGCAATTTTAGTTGCGCTGCTCTTTGAGAAGTTACACCAGAAAACTTGAACCACTTTCAACACTACCGATAGTTCAAGCGGCCACATCCAAGCATAGCCACCGTGTGGAGGCTGCTACACATCAAAACACTACACTTAGGTCGCTCTGTGCTTATGCAGTGTGTTCACTTGTGTGTTCTGAAACGCTCAAAATCTCAACAACAATGCAGCAATGACGTTACGGACAAGCAGTTGATTTTATTGTCGAACATGTCACATGATATTTCACACAAGAAAAGGGTGCCGCCTACAGAGAGGATCTCAGAATACAGCAACGGGAACGGCTCATTTGGCTTACCAAGTACTAATTTCATAATGTGCAGGGTTTTACTAGCCAAAACCACGTTATGGTTTTGAGGCATGCCGAAGTGCAAGGCTCCAAAATTTCGAGCATTTGTTGTTTTTAAAGATGCATTCACACTGCACAGTACATATGCCAAGGGCATTTCACCTCCATCACAATGCGATGGCCACGGCTGGTATCAAAGACATAGCACTCCAGTCAGCAGCTAAGCACTGACACCGCTACACCTGTGCGGCAGAGTTTCGGTTACGAATGGTTCATCAGGCCACACGAAGAACCATTTTTGAAGCGCCAGTTCACAATGAAAGTCCTATATTGAAGGAATGCTTAATTTTGTAACTATAATTCACAGCCTCTCGATTTCCATTAGTATACCCTGTGATAAGTTCTGGCCGGTTGTCAATTACTTTGCATGTAAATTATTCATTCACAATTATTCATTCCTACAAGCATATTACTCAAAGTGTTGCTCATAAAAAAAGCAAGAATATGATTGTGCCTAACGTGTTGATCCGAGTCCGAGTGAGTCGACTCATGAGGGAGTTTGTTGACTTATGGTTGAGAGTTACAACCTAAATATGTCTTGTTTACCATGACAGTATTAGAAAGTTCTACGGATGCACGTGGTGGCATAGTAAGATGGACGAGATCTATAAATAAAATAAAAAAATTACCTTCGTTGGTGGCATCACCAGTGTATTCACAGCCTGCCGTGCCAGGGTTCTCAATGCAGCCTTCATCAAGCATTACGACAACACCGTGCTCGGGGCTTTCAGGCCTGCGTGCATTGTGCTCATCTCGTTCAGACGTGG